TTTTCAACACTTTATGAATATTTACCATCTAAAAATTCCGAAGCTGCATGAATATTTTGATAACCAAGAATATACTACGCCAGTTTAATCTATTAGGAAAAAAAAGGTAATTCTAACTTTCCTGGGGACAAAGCTTTTGTAAGAGATAAAAATAACAATAGGCCTCTAGATGCAAGTTTTGGTTGAGCCACATTTAAGACGGTGAATTCCCTTACTGCTTGACTTAAAGGGACACACAGCAAGCGTGCATACTGAGTGTATCATTCCTAGGGGAAGTCATGACGATAGTATTACTGAAATAATAGCAAACAGGCATGTCTGCATTCACGTAATCTGCTCCTTTAGCACAGCCCCCAGTGCACATCAGCAGCCAGCGATGCATCTGCAGCCAGCTTTCCTTCCGTACCTGCCCTCCCGGGGGCAGCCCGTGAGAAAGCTCAGACATGGCTCACCATTCCAGGTCCACAGTGCAAGCTTCTCTCCACGACAAGGAAAGATGCATGCAGACCAGCTAACTCACCTTTTCATCACATCTTGTCACTCCAGGACTTCTATAAAGCATACATGTTGTAAAGAAATTAAGTCTGTCCACAACAAACAGCTATTTACCAAAGGACACATACAGAGATGATTTTTCTAGCTATATAGTGAGCATGCTTTGGGCTTTAGGACTTAGTACATAGCAACCTTAACTAAAGTCTAAAGGAATTATCAGGAAGGTAGCCCTTCTATGCACACTTCTTTACCCCACTCCCACTCAGTAACATTTGTATTTTTTCGAAATTTAATGTCATTCCCAGAATGCAACCATTCCTAAGAAACAACACATTTACTTAGCTGGGAATTATTCTTAAACTTCTAGAGGCCAGGTTGTTCCAATGAGGACTGCAGTTTTCCACTCTCCACACGATAGTATTTAAAACACACAGTAAGAAAAGCTTGCATGAGAAAGTCTTCCAAACAAGAACAAGCCTTTCCCGCCCATTTCTAACAACTGCCTAGACAGCAATGACCTCCTGCAGCACTTAGAAGGAATTTCAAGAACAGTCTTTCCAACGAATTTTAGCACAAAGCATATTCAACGCATGCATGCACTAACTCTACCTTTGTCATCCATCAGCAATCTCTTTAACATTAGATGGTGTGGAGCAGGACTTGTCAGGCCTTTACGTACGTTGTATATGAAGCAAGGGCAAACAAAATGCACTTCTAAGAGACAGTTCTTCGCATGAATTTAACAAAAGGATATCTACAAGAGCTATTACTTAGCTCTACTTATAACATCTAGAAAGACTAGATGTTTCAAACAGGGACTGTAATTTGTCCACTGTGCACACAGTAGTGTTGAACGGACTGTACACATGTAACTTGTGCTAGCTGAAAGTGTCTTCTGAATAGGAACATCATGAGGCGGAGGGAATACTTCACAGCTCCCCAGCTCTCTCAGCGCTAGCTGCTGGATGCCGGCAGGTGTGTTCCCGAGGTCCTTTTCAGCAGACAGTCGTTCTGTGAATCATAACAAAAGATACAAAATGTGCTAGTTTACCAGCCCTGTTTGTTATACATCGGCAACTTCTTGAATATCCAGGGATTCGATTTTGTAAACTTAGGACTGCGTTATAGCAAAGTTGAAGCGAATGCATGTCACGTTTAGAAGCCTTTTCTGTTTGTTTTTCTTTCTTGTAAGTCGTGTCTCTTTCTAGCATGTGTCGGTGACCTCCTGACTTCTAGAACACTGAGATGTGGTAGATGCCGTTTTTGTAAAGGTCGAGGGGAAAGCTGGGAGCTACTTATTCCTATTATATACAATCTCAAGAGCGGTGGCCTCTGCCGTCAGGAGCTTCTCTCTTCCCGCAACGTGGTCAGGAAGGACCCAGACCATGGGCAGAGGCTGCCAGCCCTTCCACCTGTGCAGGTCACTGAGGGGCGTCCGCGCAGGCCTCTGTGGGACACGGCAGGTTGCCCAGGCCCCGGACCCGCGTGGGCCCCGGACCTGAGGAGACAGCGAGCTTGCGCAGACCCGCCCTCGCAGGGCAGGCCTCTGTGGGCCCGGGACCTGCGTGGGCCCCCGGGCCTGCGTGGGCCCCGGGCTTGAGGAGACAGTGAGCTCGCGCAGACACGCCCTCTCAGGGCAGGCCTCTGTGGGCCCCGGGCCTGCGTGGGCCCCGGACCTGCGTAGGCCCCAGGCCTGAGGAGACAGCGAGCTTGCGCACACGCGCCCTCGCAGGGCAGGCCTCTGTGGGCCCCGGACCTGCGTGGGCCCCCGGGACCTGCGTGGGCCCCCGGGCCTGCGTGGGCCCCCGGGCTTGAGGAGACAGCGAGCTCGCGCAGACACGCCCTCTCAGGGCAGGCCTCTGTGGGCCCCGGACCTGCGCGGGCCCCGGACCTGAGGAGACAGCGAGCTCGTGCAGACGCGCCCTCTCAGGGCAGGCCTCTGTGCGCCCCCCGGGCCTGCGTGGGCCCCGGACCTGCGTGGGCCCCCGGGCCTGCGTGGGCCCCCGGGCTTGAGGAGACAGCGAGCTCGCGCAGACACGCCCTCTCAGGGCAGGCCTCTGTGGGCCCCCGGACCTGCGTGGGCCCCAGGCCTGAGGAGACAGCGAGCTTGCGCACACGCGCCCTCGCAGGGCAGGCCTCTGTGGGCCCCGGACCTGCGTGGGCCCCGGACCTGCGCGGGCCCCGGACCTGCGTGGGCCCCGGGCCTGAGGAGACAGCGAGCTTGCGCACACGCGCCCTCGCAGGGCAGGCCTCTGTGGGCCCCGGGCCTGCGTGGGCCCCGGGCCTGAGGAGACAGCGAGCTTGCGCAGACGCGCCCTCGCAGGCCGCACCAGCTCGCGGAGTCCGCCGTGCTGCTCGCCGGTCCCACCCGTGCCAAGCGCAGCGGTCGGAGCTCTGGGGGAGCAGGTGGCCGCTCTTCAAGGCCGGGGCCGGGGCCGGGGCCAGCGAGCAGCAGCGGCGGCGGAGGCCACTCCCCGCGGGGACCGCTTCCCTGGAGCAGCCCTGTGGTGCTTCGCGCTGAGCCCTGGAACTCCATTGATCTTTCAGAAGGAAGGTGAGCACATTCCGTTATACTTTCAGTTCTAAAATTCAGCATGGATTACCTAGCCTAGACTTTATTATAGTTCCAAAAGTTTCCACCCAATGGGACTTAGGTGTATTATAGAGTTTATACTGTGATTGTGGTTACAAAAGAGCCTGGGGAGAAAAAAATGGCATAAAATTTAATTTAAAAAAGAATAAACTCGGTTGTGCTCAAAATATGGAGCTAGAGAAGTCTAGAAGGGACAATAGAGGTAGAAAGCCATATATATTTTTAATTCATTTGTTTATTTGAAAGAGAAGAGACAGAGACACAGCTCACTCTTCTGTCTGCTGGTTTACTGCCTGAAATATTGGGCCAGGCTGCCCGGGCATCTCCACCTGGGCCAGGCTGCCTGAGCATCTCCACCTGGGCCAGGCTGCCCGAGCATCTCCACCTGGGCCAGGCTGCTCTGATGTCTCCACCTGGGCCAGGCTGCTCGAGCATCTCCACCTGGGCCGACCAGATCCCGGGGTCCGAGCCAGCCCTGCTGCTTCTCGGGTGTCCATCAGCAGGAAGCTGGAACCTGGCACTGTGGCACTCTGATATGGATATGGGAATTCTAAGTACTGTTGAGAGAGGAGTTAGACTGGGTAGTAGGCAGTTAGGGCATTCTGGGTCCCCCAGCCATTTATTTCTCAAATATAAAAGGGTATTTTTCCCCACCACGTCTTTTCCAAGGGACAAGGGTGACATTAGCATATCAGTTCCCCACCTGAAGTATCAGCCATTGTCTCCATTGTGTGGGAGGGCCTCGGGCTGCTCTCCTTGTCACAGAAAAGGGGACTGGAAGTAGTACTTGTATTCCCAAGGCCAGGAATGTCCAATGCCTGGCACCTGTCTGAAGTAAAGCTTTAGAAGATCCCAACACGTCCCATGCACGGGTTCTTTCCATCTGAAAGCCCCCTCCCGTCACTAGAATGGGAGCCTCCTTTCCCAGCTTTTCTAATAAATCTTGCTTTAAAACTAAACTGTCCGCACGAAAATTGTTCTTTCCTGCGAGACAAGAATTGAGGTTGCTGCCGCACTCAGGGTCAAAAGCCCTACAACACTCAGGCCTGGGACCCACGCCGCCGGTCCGGGGCCTGGGGGACCTGCCGTGGGCAGTCAGGAGTGGACTTTTGGCCTGGAAGTTAATGCTGGTCACGACGTGCCTCCCTCTGGGGAGCCTGGGTTGGGCACTCGCCTCTGGCTTCTGACGCAAGCTTCCCGCTGAGGCAGACCCGCAGGGCAGGGCTGATGGGAGATGTAGCTGAATTTCCGCCTCTGGGGATCTGCCTTAAGTTCCTGGTGTCCAGCCTCCGGCCCCAACACAGCTCCAGCTGCTCCCCCTCCCTTCCTGCTCTTTCTCTCTCTCTCGTAAATAAATGAATAAAAGTCAAAAAGACACGAAAGACACCCCACTTTGTGTTAGGCCAGTGAAGGATGAGGATAGGGCATGCAAACAGACACAGCATGAACAAGAAACGGGCAGAGGGCGAAACAAAACAGGACAAAGAAACCTGCAGTGTGAAAGTTAAAAAATCCCCAAACTAAAAAGTTCACAGAGCTTCAAGATTCTGGTTATTCATCTATGTCCTTCAGAATAAACTGCTAAAAGTTAAAAAAAAAAAAAAAAAAGGAAGAGGATTCCAGGGTGAATGGGTGGATTCTCCTTAAAGCCAATTAGGAAAGCAGATGGAATTTCTAAGTTTAATACCCTTTTACTTATTGATATGCCAAAAGCACCAAGGCCTCCTTGGTAGAATATCAGCTTGATAACATTTATTTCATGCTTTTGCCATTAGGTTTTTTTTTTTTTTTTCATGAAATTTAAGTGTAAAAACGAATTCAGGGATTCAGGGAGGTATTTAATGTGTGCTTTTAAATATTTAAATGAATAAATGAAATTTGTATTTGAAAATGCATTTTCTCTTTCCCTCAGGAAGGAATGAAACATCAGTGAAAACCAGAGCTTTGTTCAGAAATTGTGAGTACTTACCCTGCACAGAGGGAGAGGCTGCTGCCACCGAACTTCTTGTCCTTTGCTTCTCAGTGGCTGCACACTTGCCACATAACCTTGGGCCTCGAATCACTTAGTTTCCGCAACATGAATCTTGAATCAATTACCTTGAGTATATCAGAATCAAATGAGGTAATATGAACTGTGTTTTGAAAGGTAGCAAAAAATGCATAATAGCTGACCATGTTTGTACATCAGCAGAAGATGGAAAGCTCCTTGTCTTACCCTTTATTTGTGCATCTGTGTGGTGTGTCACTGCTCAGCTGGCTGGAGGCCGTGGGGTGGGTGGGACACTCCCTCCCGAGTCCACAGGAAGGGCAGTCTCCAATGCAGGCTGCTTGCAGCATGAGACAGACTGTAGCATATCCTGTATCCCAAGAGCCTTGGGTAAAGCTTAGCTTTACTTCAATATAAATGAATTTATCTTATTCCCGCACGTTTATTGCAGTGCCTACCTAAACTCGCCTCTCCCCGCGCCCCAGGCCGCTCCCATGATGAGCTGCTGGAGGAGTCGCTCAGGGGTCAGGCTTATGAAAGGTCTCCATTTGCTTAATGTGGAGCTCATTGCTCCCAAGGTTGTTTCCCACTCAATAGTTCTAAACCTGTAAGTTTTTCATTCTTTATGGTTCTCCAACTTTTCTCCTTCTCAGCAGTAAATTGACTTGCAAAAAAGCCACAGATTGGGGCATTTTGCAATATGGCTTTTTGTTGTTGTTAGATTTGTTTTTCAGGAATGTAGCGATTTTCCTTTCTTTCACAAGACTGAAGCAATTGAGCTGTAATGGAATGGTGGTAACTCTAAGTAGATAAAATTCATACAACTGAAAGGCCTTGGCACAATTTTCCTTTGCCTGAGAATTACTCGAGGAAAGGAACAGTTGGAAAAATGAAAAGGTTTAATACCCAATGAAAGATGCAACATTTGGCTTTCATTTGAACACTCTGTTGATGGTGCCAAATTAAATATATTGACATCTTTGGGGAAGAACTTCTGACCTCTTTCTCCCTCTTTCCCATCATTTTTAAAGAGGACTTGTGCATGTAGTATCAAAATACTCAAAAAATTCCTTTTTATTTGTATTCTTTTCCATGATATGGTTTTATATGTATAGGGAGTCCACCTTTCACCTCACCTTCCTCCCTTCCCATTCTCCACTCCCTTTACTCCCCCCCCCCCATTATTACAGTCATATGAATAGTACAGTCCTTCAGCAACAATCACAAGTACAGCATTCTGCTATATAGGTACATCATGCTGTTGTAAGTATAGCCAATTGTAGAAGGCCTAGTATCCTATTGTCAAGATATATTTACAGTTTCTTGGGAGTCTTCCTTCTGTTCAGAGTGGAGATAGCTGCTACGTTATCTCACTTCCCTCCATGCTTCTCAGGATCACCGTGGTCTTGAGCCTTCTCACACAGGGTCACTGTCTGGCCCACTCAGGCCCACATTTCAGAGGTTTCCTCATTGGGCCTTGACCCGGATGCTCTTGTAAAGTCACCTCTCTCCAGGCACTTGACATACATGTAGCATCCAGGACCGTTGGGGTGTAGATGCCAATGTGCTTTTGGTTTGAATGAGTCTGAGTCAGTGAATTTGCTAGTGCATTCTACTCGCATTACAACTTGGCTAAGTCCAGATTTTTTGCTTCGAGAGCACAACCGCAGGCTGATATTATGCAGATGATTTTAGCATGGTTGTGGGTAAACAAAATTCATTATGTGTATCAAAGCTATTTCTCTAAGTACCATCTGCTGGCTCACCACGTGGAATGCATCACTTGGAAGATGTGACAGGAAGAGTTGCCAGGGTAAGCATGATCAGCTAAGCCACTGTTTGCAGTGTGGCATCGTGTGTGAGAGGGCCAGCCCTGCGAGCGATCAAGCTCTCTGCTAACGCGTGTGCATTGTTAGATGGTAACCCAAGACTTGTGTCTCCACCCCCGATGGGCTCCCGCTCCCCAACCTGGCCCACGTCTGCTGGTTACGACCACTGAGAAGTGAACCAGTAGATGGAAGGTTTGCTGTCTTTCTGAGTGTGTGTTCCCATTTGTCTCTCTCTAACTCTGTCTTTCAGATAAATAAATCTTTAAAAATAGTAGTCTTGCAGTAACTGAGAGGGAAAGGCCATAGCAACCGTTGCATGTAATGAGGGCTGAATTTAATAAAAGGCGTGTGTGTGCAGCAGCTTTCCCAGTTATGCACTTAGAACTGCAAAAAGTATTGTCAAGCAGTTTCCCATGGAATAGCATTAATTTATGCATTTGTAGTATTTCCTGAACTCCCTCTTCCTCCTTTAAAATGACTGACAGTCTAATTTGCAGAAAAATGTCATGACTAGTGCATATGGGGAATTATCATACGTGCTTTCCCCAGTTCAGAAGTTGTTTCACAGCATTTTCATGCTCTCTCTTGTACATTTATATGTGTACGTATATGCATTTTATACATTATATGACATGTACATTTTATTATTTTGAAGCAATTTGAGAGCAATTTGAGAATATAATGTCTATTTATCCCTAAATATTTCAATGTGTATTTCCTAATGTGACTTCAGGACAGCGATTAAAGCCAGAAACTTTAGCTTTAATAAAATAATATTATCCAATAATGGAATTTACACCTTTTTTTTTGTTGCCAAATCTGAGATGTTGCCAGTCTAGTTAATGTAAAATAGCTCCTGGGCTTACTTTGACTTTCTACTCGTAAGGTATTAGTGTTATTCTTACACATTTGTGTATTCTTTGGAGACTTACAATCCACCAAGCGTAACCGTATCCAGTTACATCCGTTTCGTTGTGAAGGACAGGATTCCATTCCTTTGCAGGTGTCTGCCGGTGGACGTCTGGATTGAGTTCATATCTGAGCTGTTGCAGACACGGGGGTAGAGAGTACTCATTCGTGTGCGGATTTCCTTTCCTTTGGAGAAAGGCTGGCTCATATGATAGATCTATTTTCAGACTTCTGAGGAATCTTCAGACTGTCTTTTAGAATGTTTGCACCCATTGATGCCCCCACCAGGAGTTGATTAGAGGACCTGTCCCTCACACCTGGCATTTAGCAGTGTTTGATTTGGGGGTGACAGTCACTCTGAATGAAGTGAACTGAAACCATTGTGGTTTTTATTTGCATTTCCCAGAGGACTGATGGTCTTGAGCATCTTTTCATGTGTCTGCTGTCCGTTTGCATTCATCCTTTGAAAAATGTTGATATCTGTCGCCCATTTGGTAACTGCATTGTTTGTTTTGCTGTTGATGAGTTTCTCAAGCTCTTTATTTGCTGGGTATTAATCCTTTATCAGATACATAGTTTGCATAGTCATTTGTGGATTTTCAGAGAAACACATCAGTTTTGACGAAGGGAGGAGTTGCTTTTCCCAGAAGCAGCATGCTGCTTGGTCTCCCAGTGCATGCTCCCAGTGCGGAAGCCTGTGCTGGTTAGCAAAGGATTCGTATTGCGACTCTACTGTATTATTTTCTTAATTTTTGTGTGTCATAAATAGTCTTTGGTTTACTAAGTGGACACAGAAATCTTAGGAATAAAGAATAGGAAATTTTAATTGTTGTTTCTAATTTTAAGTGCTTCCATTCATTTTATTTTCTTGCAGAAACCTATAATTATGTATTCAACAGATAATGTGTCCACAAATAATTGTAACAATAATAATATTTCTTCTTGAATTAAAGTCAGTAAAGCTTTATTATCTTATACAATAATTTATTGAAAAATATAGTAGTGTGCATTGGTAGCCCTGAGAAAGATATGAATGCTTATGTGGTTTAGCAAATGCTCCTTTAGGTGCTAAGAATCGTTATTTTTCAGTTCCCATGTTTAATTGGGGTTAATTGCTGGTTTGCATGCAGTTGCAATAAACAGCACAGGGATATTCCGTGAATTCTTCACTCAGTATTCCAACAATCAATTATTACAACTTAATATAAAATTATAACCAGGGTACTAATATTAATACAGTTCACTAACCTTATCCAGCTCTCCCATGCACATTTCTTTAGATTTTTATGCTTATAAACTCAAACCATGATGAAGAATCCAAACAGTTACATCATTAGACCTCCCCTGTTGCTTTTCGTAACTTCTCCCCCAGCACCCTTAAACCCATGACAGTCATTGATTTATTCCTCATATCTAAGCCTTCACCATTTCAGAAACATTTTAGATACTCAGAAGTGGAATCGTGAAGTGAGTGAAATGTAGGAATTGGCCCTTTTTTGCTTCACTGTGTTTCCTGAGTATTCACACACGTTGTTGATCTTTCCTGGCCACTCACTCCAGCGATCCTGTCATCTCCATCACCTGAAGACTTCGTATCCTGTTTAACGCTTGGTCCATTCCATGTCCAGACACATCCCGCCAACTCCTGCTGACTCTGCCTGCACCCTGAATGCAGGCTGTTCCTTACAGTGTTGACATCAAGTTCTTTCTTATGACCTAGGGAAACCTCCTCTTCTGAAACCGCACACTGAACCCTGAGAAACATCTGTGGGTTCTGGGGACCCAACCATGGCCATACCAGTGAGGCAGTCCAGGACGCCTTCATCTTTAACCTAACCTCTGCTTGACCAAAGTATGACTCCAACTTCTTAACACTGAGCTCTTGATTTAATATGGAAATAACTTGTGATGAATCTTTTAATAACTTTGAACTGACCAATTGATTATTCCAGAATGAGTATGTGCATAAACCTGACTAATTTTGGACACTTGGGTCTTCTAATTCCCATATTACTTGTTCTGTGCCAAGGCTTGGCTTGCAAAAATCTCCAAATCGTTATTAATGAATTTTACTGAAAATGTTTTATAGCTTTAATTTAGCATTAATTCCTTTATTTTAGAAAGCAACTCATATTTGTTGTTGAAAGTTTGTGAAAAATTGGACATTCCTAAAAAGCAGATGTTTGCATATTTTTATCCTCCTGGGGCACTTTTTATGATCTCTGTGAAAGA